TCTACTCCTATGCTAGATATCTGAAGTCAGCAATTTAATTTTCGAAACTAAAAATCTTAATTCAACCAGTGAAGCCGATGCCTCATCCTAACGTAGACCAAGTTCCCATTTCTGCCTATTCATGTTTCATCATTATATCCCGATATTGCAAACAAAACCCACCCAATGAACATCTTGGCAAAGTAAAGCTAAAGAATTGCACTTGCAAGCACCACTTACCATATTTGGTTGGCACGGAATAGAAAGGTTTTTGAGAATCTTTGCCCACAAGTGTATAGCATTGTAAGACTTATTAAAACACACGTGTACAAGGTTATGTTTGCTTTGTACCCACATGTTTTAATTAATTATGAGTTGTTGGTTTTGGAACTGTAGTTCTTATTGTTTGTATATCTTTTCTTTGGATTGCTCGGGTAAGTTCAAAGTAATTGTATTTTACTTGTTGTCTAATTGTCCAGAGTATGCTCGGTGTACTTGTAAATGATTTTGATAAATAGAATCTTATATTTATCGATCAGAAAAAAAAGATTTCCTAGCCTTTAAATTCAGACCCCAATTGTCATAAATTAGTGTCCATCCGAATGCCTAGTCTAAATGTTCGTCCGAGGTTAAAAAGTTCACTTAGAAGCAAACTTACTTAAAGCCTATTTGGTGCTTCGAAAATCAATTTTTTGACTGTTAACTTGAAAGGTGTGTCCCATCTGTGAGTGAAGATGTCAAAAAAGATGACTGGCCTCGTTAAATAACAGTAAAAAAATTTGACTTGAAAAATCAGCACCAAACAGGAGCTTAAAAGTAAATAAGTTTTAAACTAAATAACATTTTTTTTTTTTTTAACTTAAAAGCATGAAAAAAAAAAGTTATCCAAACATATTCCGGGACAAAATGCAGTTTATTTTCTTCCTCAGCTTCTACTTCCAGGTTAACTTTATATCTAACTGAAAATGATCACACATTTTGAAATTCGAAGTATTCAACTATAATAAGCAGGTAAAGGAGCATAGTTTTTACTGTGATAAAATAATCAAACCAAACAAGAAAAAACGACAAAAGAGAAAGAGAGAGAGAGAGAGAGAGAAAACACTCTTACATTCATGCTCCTCCTGCAAACAATGAACATAAAAAAAAATGCAAATTATTAAGAAAATCCTCAAAAATTATAACATTAGGATCGAAATCAAGTACACTAAAATCATAATTACTGACTGCAAAGATCAAATATATAGATTAAAAATACTCACAGCAACAGCATTGCAAGTGGCACATTTATCATCAATGCAGTGTATGGAAGACGCGAAAATGACAAAAATTACGAAGAAAACTGATTTCAAAATTGCAGTCATCATTTCATACGCATTTTCTAGTGAGATCCGTTTGATTTCATCGCTGTTAACCTCAGTTCTGCTCATAAAATGTTTTCGATTATGAATTAAAATGGAAAACACATAATAGCACGTCAGCCGAGATTATGTGGTGTAAGTAATCAATGAGCATCTGCCACCTGGAATTTGACTTGAAGCTCCATGTTTATCTCTCGTTATTTAAAATAAAAAAATTTCTACTCATTTTTAACATTACACGATAAAATATTAAACACGTAAACTGGAAAATATTTTATACTTAATCGCCTTACATTTTTCAAAATGTCACTATTTAAATAATATTTTTTTAAAAATAACCATCAAACAGGGCTACATATCTGAATCCTAACCTTCGAAAGAGATTCATAATTTATTTTAGGAAAAATTGTAGCGATCCTTAACTTTTTTATTTCTTGCAGATTTTACCCTAACATTCAATTTGTGTTAGCGGAGGTTTCTAACATTTCATAAATATGCACCTTAGGTCAATCTGGACGAAAATGGTCCAAAATACAGTCAGTTGATCGAAAAAATTTAGGAATCAACATCCAATATAACTATCCAAAACACTGTCAAAAAATCCATCCAAAAAGGTATCAACATTCAATAAAATTATCGCGGTAGTAGATAGTTCAAAAAAATTCCGATCAAAAGACAATATTTTGGACAGTTTCCATCTAGATGGATCCCGAGTGCATGTCTATGAAATGTTAGAGACCTTCGTTAGCACAAAATGAAGGTTATGGTAAATCTGCAAAAAAGAAAAGGTTAGGGACCGCTGATGCTATTTTTCCTTTATGTTAACTTTTCATTCACACATTTGCCCCTTATTTTCTAAAACTTATTTAAAACTATACATTTTATAAGACTAGTCAAAGTTGAACGTGTATTGCACGTTATTTTAAAATACTTTGTGTAATATTTGATACCAATTTGTTGGAGGATTTGAGGAGTCTCAGATTAATTAAAGAAAATAAATTTTAGCATAAAAATTTAAGAAAAGAAAATTGTATTCAAATTGTACTTTCAAAACTCAATTTCTATGATTTAAATTTTTTGTAATGATGAAATACTATAAATGAGTAATCTTTTTATGTTACATTTGATAATAAAAACTAATTGTTAATAAATAAATTTAAATCCCATTAAAAATTTTAGATACACGAAGAAGAATAAATTTTTTAGATACTAGGGTCCTGCCCTATCCAGTCAAAGACACTGACCGACCTTTATGCTTCACATTCTGGTGGGAAGTTGTCCGCCAGTCGCGATTCTGCTAGCTGGCTTCCTTGCACATAGGATGTGACTTTCGTACCCACTTCTCTCTTGATGGGGGTTCTCTGTGCTGGCTCATATGGCCTCGAGAACGAGACGCAGAGACTTCACGAGCTGGGTAAGATTCTTGGGGCATTTGGGTGCCCTGGTCACCTTGGGCTCGCATGAAGAATTCATGCATCGCCATATTTGGAGTTGCGATCTCTCTCATGCCCGCAGCTATTTGGGTCATTCTTTCAGTGAACATGGCCGTTCTTTCACCTCGACGACGCCGGTGATGGGGTCTTTGGTGAGTGACATTGTTCCATAGCACCTCTTCTTCAAAAGCGTCCATCATGGGGTTTGCGTCCTCATTGCTGGAACTCATTTTATCTACTCCTTTTTCAAGGGTGATGAGAATCTGGGTTGTAATTTGACTTTATTCTTTTTCAAGAACGTCCCTTTTTCAGGGTAAGTCAATGGTTTTTCGATGACTTTTCTGGTGGAGAATGTAGAACTTTAGATGTGAAGTTTCCCACGGACGATGCCATTCTGTTGACCTCGCAAATTGTACCTCCTACGTGGCCAATCGATAGCTATTCAACGTGATCCTCCCTGCGTGCAATCAACACACGGCCGGAACCAGCTAAGGTGGTGGCGACCGCATACATTTCGACGGTGAAATTAGTATTCGATGATCGGAACAGTGTCCAGGTTGTGCAAGTGAATGGGAAGGAGATTATATATATTTTCTTGTTATGGAGAGCTAAGTTACAAAAGTTTCATTACCATTGCCTTTTGTCAAGTCTTGGGTATTTATAGGTGAGAAGAATCGTTGGATATGGGACACGTGTATGCATCTGACGGCGTGAGGCGTCTGCTTATTGGCGTCAATCAGCCGCATCTATAGAGTGGGGAGGTAATAACTTCTCCTGAGTTGAGATGACATAAAGTTAATACGTGACATCAACTAAATCCATGGAGATGTCAAATCAATTGGGCCTTGGGGGCAGAGAGGATCTTGACGCAGATTCTCTTTCTGAAAGTGGCGGCGCATTGCGCTTCGACGTCAAGGACGGTTCGGAATATCAAATCACTTCGGGTTAGCAGTGGATACCTTGTACTACCACTTCTGAAGTGGTTCAAATATTCCGAAGCGTCTTTCAGAAGTGGTTCAAATAGGGGCCTAACAGATTCCGAGGCGTCTTTTCGAAGTGGTTCAGATAGGGGCGTAACACATGTTATTAATTAAAAATAAATAAAAATCACATGTGGGACCCTCACTTATGAAGGCTTTTATAGACAGTGGTTTAAGTTTAGAGGCTAGTGCAAAAAGCACGGCTGGGTCGTTTGGCTATCTTTTTCTCACACGCACATATATATATTATTAATTTCCTTTTTCTTTTCTTGTTCTTTTTATTTATCTTTTGTTAAAAATGAATATTTATTTATTCTCCCTCTAAATATCAAGTCAAAGAATGGAATACAACATCTACACATAAGGATGTAAACGAGTCGGGTCGAATCAGCTCGCGAGCCTAAAGTTTCGGCTCGGGCTCGGGCTCGGCCCGATTAAAATGGCCGAGCTTTTTTGCAGGCTTATTTTCTCCCTTTTTTTTTTTTTTTATCCTTTTCTTCCTGAACTGCTGCCTTTTAAAGGCAGCAACTCGCTTCGAGGCAGCGAACTGCTGCCAAGGCAGCCTCAAATTTTTTTTTTTTTTAAAGCTCGCGAGCTCACAGGTCGACTCGGGCAAAGCCCGTGTCCCCAAAATGGGGCTCGGCCCGAGCCTAGGCTCCAGTCTACCGAACCCCGAGCCGAGCCGAGTCACGGGCGGCCCGAGCCGGCGAGCCCGATTGCTATCCCTATCTACACACGATATGAAATGTTATTTAAAAAGTTGGACATGAAACACGATAAAATTTTGTAACAATTGCAAGAACAATGTTGTAGTCTGTGTATTATGCTTAGATCAATCGATTACTATAACTCAATTTTGTCCCTTGTGTGTCCTTCCTATCGAAGTGCATTTTACAATAAAATTACAAATATTTTTACCAAAAGTCTTTATTAAATTTTCAAACTTAGCCCTTGTTTGATAATCATTATAATGAGAAATTTGAGTAAAATGTGTTTTAGAATAATTTTTTTGGAAGAATTTGTAGTTAAAAAGAAGTAAATGTTTTTTTTTATTTATATATAATATTATTTTATTGAAAAATATTTGATTGAAAAGAAGATAAAGAAAATGTATTAAAATTTTAAAGGAATTTCATACAATTTTGAAGAAGTTTGAAATTTTGAGATGAGTCCAAAACCAAGGCTAACTTTTTGGTTTTTAAATAGGTTGGGATGCTCATTAGTAATGATAAAACAACATCAATTGAGAAGGAAAGAAAGGAAAATTGAACCTATAAAAAAAAAAAAACAAAAGGCAAATACGATGGTGCTGCTAAGTATGGGAAGGAGCCAAGGAGGCCGAGTTGATTGATATCTCAAGGGTCACATTTATAATCATCACTTTATCAAGTTGGTCGTTCACCTTTACTAAAAATTAATTCCCAACCAACGGGTTCGATAGAAAAGATTATGGCAAATTGGCAATATATCAAGAATCCCAGTAAATAAAACTCTTATTATTTACACACCATAATGACTAGATTTTATTTTTATATGATCTGATTAGTAAAGTTTGAATTTTGTGCAGATGAGATCTTGTTTGGTAGTGAATCTTGAAATGGGTTATGAAAAAATGGGTATGTTTCTTCTTTTGTTGATTTCCATCTCCATTTCAGCTTCCATTTACAATATTCGGTACCCTTTTATGATTTTGATATGAATATGTGAAGTCATTTAGTACATTTTTCGTTGCGATTGTGCGAATTTTAGTCTTGGTTCAATGGATCTGCAATTGCATTCTTGACTTATTCTAGCACGTGCTTAATTTTGTTTTTGTTTATGTTGAGGTAATGTTAACTGTCTTTTTTTTTTTTTTTTTTTTTTTTTTTGGTTTTTTTTTTTTTTTTTTTTTTTTTTTTTTTTTTCGGGTTTCTTGATTGTTAGTGGATTCATTTGGTTTCTTCAATCTAGTTAAGGAAGAGAAGAATACTTCTATGGTTTTGTCTTGAAGAACCTAGCCTTGATTCTTGTTGCACCATTTCATCTAAAAGCTTAAGCTCATGGAGAGGATGAATTTAGTGTTTTTGACACATTCTTTCACGTGCAGGCAAAATTCATTTGAACTCAGGTCTTTTGTGTGCTGAGATACAATGTCGAGCAATCTCATCTGAAAGTTTAAGCTATTAGAGCTAGGATAATCTTTGACAATTATTTTATCCCAAATTTCTATTATATTTTGATTTTCCCATGATAGCCAGGATGTTTCCTAGAGTACACTATTGAATCTCCCTATCTATGTCTGTTTTTTTGGTGTGAGCTTGTATCCTATCTGTTTGTGTATGTTCTGCTACCGAACAGAGTGTGATGTTTGGACCATACACGTTTGGCGATTCAGAAAGCTGTTGCGGATATTACTTGCATGTCTATTACATTTTCATCAAAACTGGCTCTGTCTTCCTTGCCTTTACACGCTAGGTTGTTTGGGCTTTAACTTTCTTCAATGTGTTCATGTAGGTGAATAAAAGCATGAGATAATCACTAGCCAAATAGCCAGAAAATTCATGTATTTATATGTCTTTTGAAAATAAAGATACATGGTGATGTCTCAGCGATTAATAGAAGAAGAACCTATTAGTAAGGGACTTGAGTCTTCGAGTGTGTCAAAACGCCTCGTCAGAAGTTTGAGCCAGAAACTGAAAATAAAGAACCACAGAAATGAAGGCGATGAAATGGATGTTACAAGTGGCGTGTCGTTGGGATGTCTTGATCTTTATGGAAGAGTCAGAGGCTGCAAAGTAGGTGATGACATAGGTGAAGAGTCTAAAGATTCAGGAAGTAGAAGGCAGTCAAGTGCCAATGAAGAAGGGAAAGTGTACAGTATAATAATATGTGGCAATGAGGAAGCTACTGTAGATTGCTTTCCGTATTTGATAAAAGAGAGATTCTGGAGGAGGAATAGCAGAAGGCTTTCAGCATATGAAGAAACGCAAAAAAACACTAGCGTGAATACTTTTCTTCCCGATGACATTCTTGAACTGTGCTTGGTGAGGCTCCCAGTGACAACTCTTATGAACGCTCGTCTTGTATGCAAGAAATGGAGAAACTTGACAAAATCACCTCGGTTCATGCAGATGAGACTGGAGGGTTTATACCAAAGTCCGTGGATGTTTCTGTTTGGTGCTGTTAAAGATGGTTATTGTTCTGGGGAAATACATGCATTGGATGTTTCCCTCGATGTGTGGCACAAAATAGATGCTCAAATTCTCAAGGGACGGTTTCTGTTTTCTGTTACAAGCATTGGGGAAGATATTTACATTGTCGGAGGTTGTTCTAGCTTGACCTGCTTTGGAAGGGTGGATAAAAGCTCATTTAAGACGCATAAAGACGTTTTGGTATTTAGCCCACTGACTAAATTATGGCGTAAAGCTGCACCCATGAAGTACAGCAGATCATCTCCAGTTTTAGGAATTTCTCAGATCAGTCCAGATTGTTTGATCGCTAGAAATCAGCAAAGTCGAGACAGACGTTCTTACAGGTCAAGAGTTGGTGGTACATCAGATGTTTATGAGGATCCTCGCAGACTTTCAGTAAGATGCCAATTTGGACACTCCCCCAGTGAAAATAATAATTCGTTCTTTCCAGTTACAAAGCGATACAAATCGATAGGACAAAAACATGAAAATTCACATACGAAAGATGGTCAAAGTTTTGTAATGATTGCGGTGGGAGGTCTTGGCTCCTGGGATGAACCACTAGATTCTGCGGAAATTTATGATTCAATATCCAACAAATGGACAGAGATCCAGAGAGTACCTCTGGATTTTGGGGTGGCTTGTTCTGGTGTTGTATGTGATGGGATTTTCTACGTTTACTCAGAAAGCGATAACCTTGTTGGTTACAATATAGAAAGAGGATACTGGGTTACATTTCAAACAACTTCATGCCCACCTCGTGTGCACGAGTACTATCCAAAATTTATATCGTGCAACAGTCGGCTATTCATGCTTTCTGTATCGTGGTGTGAGGGAGACGGTCAAATAGGCAGAAGAAACAAAGCAGTTCGGAAGCTCTGGGAACTTAACCTTGTGCATCTTACTTGGACAGAAGTGTCAATGCACCCTGATGCCCCGATGGACTGGAATGCTGCTTTTGTCACTGATGGAAATAGTATATTTGGGATCGAAATGTTCAAGATATTCGGCCAGGTGTTGGACTTTGTGACAATGTGCGATGTGTCTGACAACGGAATGAAGTGGAATCATGTTTCGAGGAATCACGTGGCACACGATCTGGATGCTTCTTCATGCTTAACAAAGACGATGACAGTGCTGCGTTTATAACTAGTATAATGATATCCTGATTCATGATGTCGTTTCTTACTCGAGAGTCGAGTTATTTCTGATCATGTTGTACATGCTATTTATCGTCAGTTATTTTTCTGAATGTTTGTCTGGTACTAATGTTATTCATTCACAACTATAGAATTAACTTGTGTATTTGTTTCCCCCACATATTCTTTGCATCAACGTTGACTGGGACAACCAGTTTATGCATGCTTTTTGTAAGGGTTTTAACCATTTGACAACATAAATTTTGCATTAGGGAACGTCTCGGGAGTTCTTGGAATTCGACATCTGGAAATGGTTTTGCTCTATTGAGGGACGTCAATTTGTCTGAATCTTTAAGGAAGAGATCGAAGACCCCAACTTCTTTTAGGAGTTACAAAGGGTCATCGCACTCTCCTGCCTCTATTGAAATGATGGAACATTTATGATGATAGAGCATTTTCCCTTGTTTTTGTAACAGCAGATGATTTTTTAAAATTCTGGGAAAAAATGATGTCCAATCTCCCATTCAACTTCAAAAGCAAGTACAGTATGGAATTCATGAAAAAGAAGCCCAAGGAAAAAAAAAAAAAAAAAAAAAAAAAAAAAAAAAAAAACCTCTACAAATAAGATACCATTATGTACCTGCACTCCATAATTCTTGACAGATTAATAAAGGTGGAGACAATGATAACAACAACAACAAATACAAGGTCCTAACAATCTAGTAAATCATTTCAAAACGGTTATCCCATGTTTGCAAAGATGCCAGAGAAGTTGGGAATTTTATCGACGTGCTTCAAGGCACGCTCAGCAATCTGTCGTGTTCGATAATCGCCATGTTGAAAAGCATCCACGAGGGCTAAGCCTATATTTGGATCTCCTGAAACTTCGTAGGCTATATCATCTGTTCGCAATAGTCTCTCGACTGCCCAAACAGCCCTCCTCTTTAGACTCTCGGTCCGTTTCTCAAGTAACACGTCGAATACAGGCTTGATTCCTTCTGCATCCATTAACACCTGAACTCCTTGCTCGATATCAACCCCATCATCCAAAAGAGTCGACAGGGCTGCAAGCGACGCTTCAATGACCTGGTCATTGTTGTGGTCGAGAAGGGCAACCAACTTCTCAACAGCATGTCCTTCTAAAAGACAAAAGGATTCTTTCATCGAACACATCCCACGATGAACCCTACACAACCCAGTTATGACGGGTGGCTTGCTAAAACAAGGGAAGAACGAGACACAAAATCCTGGAGTAGGAAGCTCAGGCAATTTGGTCAAGTTTTTCGATTCTTGGGATAGGTTCTCTAAAGCTGTGGCTGATACCATTTGTACATTATCAAGCCCATTAGCTTGTAGAAGGTCAATGAAGAGTGACGCTAAATTGTGTTCACGACAAAGTGCACAGGCAGAACCCGACTCTTCAGACAAGGCGAACGTAATTCTTGCAAGAACCTTAACAAGCCCTTCCAAATACGGTGTCATGAACCGGCTGCCTCTCATCTCCCCTTGTCTGATCCTAATTACTCGAGAAATGAACAGCTCAAACTCACCTTCGTTTAGGATCTGTCTCGTCAGGCCCACGTCTCTTTCCGGAAGATCAGCCAACAGCCCGACGGCTGCTGCCTGCTCCTCAGTTATAGCTATATTTTCCAATATTACCCTTATTAGGCTGCCAAGTTGACCAGACGTACCACGTAGGCAACCGGTTAGTTCTTGACCCATGTATGGGGAGAGATTCTGAAGAAGTTTTATCGAAGCCATCCTCAGATCCCTCTGCGGAGCCTCAATAAACTGAACCAAACTAATAGTAGCCCCGGAACTCTTAATAGCAGAAACAACATTGGAAACAGTTGTTGGAGAACTCGTAAGCCCAACAAGTACCTGGAAAAGCCTGCATTCTATTGCAGGCCCCGTGTTGCTAATAAGATGGAGAAGATTATGAATTATTTCCTCGGAAACCAAAGTTTGGTTATCAGGTCCAACCGGAATGGTATCAAAATCATATCCCGAGCTCACAACATTTGCAAGAATTGTTGCCGAAACTTCTTTTAGTCGCATTGGCAGGTGGTTTGAGCCAACAGTAAAGAGATCCTTGACAAGAGGTGGAAGTACACCTGCCTCTATCAAGACCTTGGCGCTTGATTCATCTGAAGAAATTTGATTTAAAGCTTTAAGAGCAGCCTCTCTTGACTGCATGTTAGTACTCTTCATGAGATTAATCAGGGACGAACCAGCTGTCCTAGCCACAAAGACTTTCACATCATTGTTTAAAACCAGCTCACCCAAGAATGCAGCCATCGACAATTTAGTTTCTGGAGTGCCTGCAATGATTCAACAGAACTCTTAATGCCATTTTTGACAAAATGGTTTCAGAACTACGAGTCAGTACTAACAAAGAAAAAGAAGTTAAAATTTTGTTCATTGCATTGCTCTCCTGTAAGGACAGTTTGCCATACATGCCCTTCGATTTGTTTGGTGAAAAAGAATGTACGGGACAACAGCTAGAAAAAGAAATAAAAATCTTGTCTATTGAACTCTCTAGTCCTTTCTAGTACTGCGTATTAAACATGCTCTCTCTCTCTCTCTCTCTTTTTTGAATTTTACCCTCCCCCCAAATGAGACGAGAACCCAGATTAACATGTACTAAACATGCTCTTATTGGCTTCCATCCTGATTTTCCTTAATTCTTCCAATTTATATCATGGCACAGTAAATAACACCACAAACATCGTATCATGCTCAGCACATAAACTTCCACCTGCATATAAACAAAACAAGCAGGCTAACGAAATTACAAGCATCTCTTCATCAGCACCAGTAATATTCCTAAAGAAAAATGCAAAATAATATAGACACACGAACACAATGAGTTCTACACAAGCAAAGAGTACGGAGGTTGATTATAATTTACAACACCTTCAAGTAGTAGCGTTAGAAGAGGATGCAATCTTCCATTTTCAGCCATTTGTCTTACATTGTTCTCACATTTTGCCAGATTCTCCAGGGTTTTATCGGCCTTTTCAACAGTTAGAAGATTTTCCGAGTTGCTGCTTGCCATTCCTACTAATATAAGAATTGCTCCATTAACTGAACCAATCTTTTCACACAATAATTCAGATTTCGAGAGCTCATGCAGCAAAGAAACAGCTTCTTCTCTCTCTTTGGATTGATCGTGCGATAAGAATTTGACTATCATGCGCACAGTGTCCCCTTCAGCCATTATTTCCTGAAAAACTATAAAACTGTTAGACAAATAAATAACAACTTGAACTTACATATGCAAAACCATACAATGAAACGTCAATCAATTTCAACCTTATTATCTGAGTCATCCGCCACTACAATACGAAGTGTTTCTAAAGCCTTAGACCGAACCAGACGACTACTGCTTTTCAGCATAACAACTATCGATGGTATCAGCTCTGCATTACGGATTACATGCTTATTTGATGGATTGTTTAGGCAAAGTTGCTGGACAAACTTCAGAGACTGTAAAATATCATTTTCTGGGCTGCCCATTGATAATGATTTACGAGCCATGTCAAGCTGAGCAGCTTCATTCCTGGCTTTCCATTCTTCAATTGTGTTCCGTAAAGCAATACTTGGATTTAATTCCGTGCTTCTCAGCTCTCTCAGAGTCAACGGGCAAACTAGCCGTCTTCGACTCTCCCTACACTCCCTGAACCATTTCTCAATTGCCTCTCTCTCAAATGTTTGCCCATTTTCCAACGTCACTGGATCTCGCATAACTTGTTTAGTTAAAGGGCAGATAAATGCATCATAAATAGGCTCAATATGTAGTCTATCGAAATGGAGGCTGTCATCGGATTGACCACCCGGGTCGTAATTTCCATCCCAGCTTCCAGCCATTAGATTCAAATTACCTGCCAGAAAAAGCAGCATTACTTCTTTTAACATGTTAAATGAAGATTAATGTAACAAGATATCAAGCTATGATTCAAGCTGCTACCACTCGATAACATGCAGTTATTTCCATTTACTTGGACTTCTTCAGCTATTCAAAGAAACTTAGCATTGGAGATTTCAACCTTTACATACATGAAGACTTAGATTGTGAACCAAATTTACTTGGCATCTGAATCCCCGACCTTTAAGTTTTGTAGCCCTCGGGCCCCATAAGATTTAGTCAAAAAAAGAAAATCGTTAAAAAGTCTTGTATTTTGCACATTATGTACAGATTTTATTCAAAAAGACAAGCATAACCTTTCTTTGATTCAAAAAAATAAAAGAAAACAAGAAAGCATTCTTCTGCCCCTTCCACCCTATTGCCTCCTCCCCCTGCCCCTTTTGTGCGTATTTCGAAAGAGGTTGCAGGCAGCTTAATTTAACGGACTTCCAACCATTAATGGCTTCTGTTTTTTATTTCTGTTTAACGTATAGGCCTATTTGTTTTATTTCCCAGGCTCCTACTGTTTCTCTTCTAGAAGAGGTGCAGTATGAACTGTCATTATTTTAGGCTATACAAACCAAAAATAAAAAAAAAATAAAAAAAGATGGAGGAAAAAAAAAGGGGGGGAAAGAAAGAAAAAAGAATTGTAACCTATAACCAAAAGAATTTGGTAAGACCCCAAGCATTCATTCATGTAAAGATTACGGGACCTTAAGTGCTATTTTCCCCAAAGGAAACTATAACATCAAAACGATACAAAACTAACAAAATAACCTCAATATTTCGAAATATTGGGGCAGAGACAAGATACCCTTTTTCATTAATTTCACTTCACTTTTAAAACCGAGCATAAGGGGAACACTTTGAAAACGAAGAGAGTGCAAAAGAAAACATTAGAAATGCGTAAAACGGTCACTGTCAACTATTTAAGCCAAGTTCTCCCTTTTCACTTATATTTACGAATTGGAACTAAGAGCATGCTCGGCAGACCATAAAGAGTTCACTTACAAGTTTATGTATAAGTAAATAAGTAGGTATTTTATAATAAATAATATGTTGTCGCTTAAAGTTGTAAATAAATTACAAGTAACAAGAAGGTTACATATCCAAACAAGTTAGAAAACAAAAACTTACAAACTTGTACATTTTTCTTTTAACTAAACCAAACGTGTGTCTTAGTTAAGCCAATGTTTACTTGCTTCCCCATTCACATAGTTGATCATCTAGCATTATATATAAATGAGCTCTTTTTTCATTTGACTCATTCAAGTGCTCTCTCTTGGATTCGGAATGCGAACAGCACCTTAGCACTTCGCTTTCTGACTTCGGAATCCAATGTCAATCGCTCTCTCTCTCTCTCTCTCTCACACACACACACACACACACACACATTTTTCTTGACATTTGTAAGGATAAACCTAAAGCAAGAACAAAGTAGAAATCTCCAGTTCCATTGTGTTTCAAGATATCAGTTGCCAGCTCTCATTATCAAGATTATTTGGGCAGCATTTCAATGCTAGTTTAAAGAATAAATAATTTTTTTCTAAGTACAAGTAAACAGATCCATGTAGAACTGTCTCTGATCTAAACTTGATTATTTCAAAATGCAAAAATAAGCAAATTTCACAAACTATCTAAGGACAAAGATCATCAAATCCCTACTACGATTTCAACTACCTAAGATTAAATGAAAACAAACCTCCAAGAGTCAAATTCAGTCCACTAATTAATATACAAAATTCAACCCGCATGGTAAAATCCAAAGTTAAGCCCAATCATAAGCAGAATTTTAACTTATACAGAACATTGGATATATAATTCATCGAAAAGGAGAAACAAGAAACTTAGAATCAATACCTTGTCGAACACTTTCCAATTTTAACCTTGCATCACAATTATATTTTCAAGAAACCCCACAACAATCAAAACCCAAAATTCAATAATTCTGATGCATCCATGAATCTTGAATTATGGATTCTTTCGCTTCTGATCCATAGAGGTGGGGAAGAGAGAAAAGGGGCAAAAATAGGGAAGAAAAAGGGTGACAGCAATTGACTCTCTCTCTCTCTCTCTCACACACACACACACACACACACACATTTTTCTTGACATTTGTAAGGATAAACCTAAAGCAAGAACAAAGTAGAAATCTCCAGTTCCATTGTGTTTCAAGATATCAGTTGCCAGAACTCATTATCAAGATTATTTGGGCAGCATTTCAATGCTAGTTTAAAGAATAAATAATTTTTTTCTAAGTACAAGTAAACAGATCCATGTAGAACTGTCTCTGATCTAAACTTGATTATTTCAAAATGCAAAAATAAGCAAATTTCACAAACTATCTAAGGACAAAGATCATCAAATCCCTACTACGATTTCAACTACCTAAGATTAAATGAAAACAAACCTCCAAGAGTCAAATTCAGTCCACTAATTAATATACAAAATTCAACCCGCATGGTAAAATCCAAAGTTAAGCCCAATCATAAGCAGAATTTTAACTTATACAGAACATTGGATATATAATTCATCGAAAAGGAGAAACAAGAAACTTAGAATCAATACCTTGTCGAACACTTTCCAATTTTAACCTTGCATCACAATTATATTTTCAAGAAACCCCACAACAATCAAAACCCAAAATTCAATAATTCTGATGCATCCATGAATCTTGAATTATGGATTCTTTCGCTTCTGATCCATAGAGGTGGGGAAGAGAGAAAAGGGGCAAAAATAGGGAAGAAAAAGGGTGACAGCAATTGAATGAAAAAACGACAAGTGAAAAACAACAAAAAATAATTTTAGTTCAATAATTATATTACATATTAAAATGACAAAAGAGGAGAGTTGACTGACAGCCAATAGTCATCGTTTGTGCACTGTAAAAGAACTTCGAAACGCAGAAACGTAAAAGTGACGAAGTTCCCATTTGGCTGGCTGGCTGGCTGGCTGGCGAGTCGTGTATTTAGGCCTGTTTGAACCCCCATTGATTCAAATTAATGTTGTATGAAATAATGATTGACAGAGAATACATTATTAAAAAAGAAAGAATTTTTTTTGATTTGTGTGTAATATTATTTTAATAAAGAATGTGGAGTTGAAAATAAGTATCGTAAAAAAATAATGAAAAATAATGTAAAGGAATGAGGCTCAAACAAGGATTTAATACAAGCATTCTTACTTTCTTACAATAGTAGAATCAATGCTAGGGAAAAAAAATGTAAAACTTTTAAGCACCAGTTGAAATGAGCTAGATGGATTAAAGTAGGAATGTCAAAATGGGTGAGTCGGGCCATTTGCAACAAAGCTCGATCCCAAGGCTGCAACATACTTGAACTACTCGATTTAAAAAGACAGATAGACTTGACTAGACCCGTCTTTCAAATGTGAGGATCGACGACCAATGAACAGGTCAATATTATGATCGGGTTGAAATAATGATTGACAGAGAATACATTATTAAAAAAGAAAGAATTTTTTTTGATTTGTGTGTAATATTATTTTAATAAAGAATATGGAGTTGAAAATAAGTATCGTAAAAAAATAATGAAAAATAATGTAAAGGAATGAGGCTCAAACAAGGATTTAATACAAGCATTCTTACTTTCTTACAATAGTAGAATCAATGCTAGGGAAAAAAATGTAAAACTTTTAAGCACCAGTTGAAATGAGCTAGATGGATTAAAGTAGGAATGTCAAAATGGGTGAGTCGGGCCATCTGCAACAAAGCTCGATCCCAAGACTGCAACATACTTGAACTACTCGATTTAAAAAGACAGATAGACTTGACTAGACCCGTCTTTCAAATGTGAGGATCGACGACCAATGAACAGGTCAATATTATGATCGGGACTATGCTAACGTTCTTTACTTTTCAAATTTTCTTCAATTAAATAAAGTACTCAACAACTCTTCTGATTTTACTTTATCTTTAAATTTTTGGAAACAATTCACATTTGCAAAAATATATGTTGCTACCTTTTTTTTTTCATTGTCAAAATATTGTTTTTAATTTAATTTTTTTTATTTACACACAACATGTTTCCTTCACTATTGTTACCGTAGTCACTAATTATAACAACTTTTATAATGTTTGTAATATTATTTTATTCTTGTCATCGTTGTCACCATCACTTGTAACATACCATGTTACACTATCCCGCCACTATCATCACCACAACCACTTGACAAACCTTGTTAAATTGTTATCACTATCACAATTACTTGTAAAATACTTGGTTACATTGTTACTATAAGCATCATCATCGCCGTTATAATCACTTATAATATTCATTATTACAACTATTACAACTAGAAAGACCACATCCACCACAATTTTCACTGTTCATCACATCGACACTGGCGAAAGCTCCTCAGCATGCTCCATTATAACATTTGAAAATAAATTTGGATGGTGTGTTCGAATGAGTAGGAAAAGGTTGGCATTTGAAGAAATGAAAATAAGCAATGGAAGTAGAATAGAAATTTCAAAAGAAATAGGGTTGGTAGAAGTAATTTCCGCTTTTGGAGCACTCGGCAGCCACTCATGCTGCCAATGCCCAGAACGTCATTGTGTTTTTGGTAGGACTTTTTTAAAGATCAAAAGCTATTTTTCAAGAAGAAAATAGCTTTTTCCTTAAAAAATACGATAAAACCATTTAATATCCAATTAATGGGATGTTTGATAAAATAAATATTTTCTATTATCCTTTCATCAAATACAGTATGCTTAGAGATATCTTTTACTACAAGTTGAGAAGAAACTGAATCGATTTATATTAGTCATATAAGGTTCAACGTCTGAAATTTTATGTTGAACTAAATAATCTTTAAAAATAATTTTTCCATAGAAAACGTTATTTCAATCCAAGCGACTCTCACAATGATTATTTTCTTCATTTAAATTAAAAGGTTTTAAAGAATCCTTTTAAGAAATCAAAATTGACCACTGCATGATACAATACAATCAAGAAGATATTACAAAGAAATATGAATTGAAAGTTCGCGCACTCACTACAATACATCTGAGAATAATCCAGTCCAACCCATAGAAGAGCACAAAAGTGAATGAATACACGAAAAATTCTTTCCACTCAAATGTAAGAGGCTCGAATCTCAGAACCCCGAAAGACAAGAAACCTGCATGTGAAGGCCTCGTCTTGGTGGCATGTAATGATACCATGAGATGGATATACAGCGGAGCGCAGAACACCATTATTTTCCTCTGGCCGTTTATCCAGGCTATACAGTGAATGAACAGACACTAACAAAATCTATACTGTCAAATATGAGTATAAATCCACCAGTTAGAAAGATCACCAACTTTCAGAACCTTTTTTTGAAGTTTGACTTTCTGAAGAGACTTTAAAGGGACCGCTAGAACCAAATGGGTCAGAGTCATCAAATGAAAAGCCACCACTATGACCAAAATCCCTTGTGCTATTCATGGAGTCGAACCTAGTGAGAGACTCCTGACGGGGAGATGAAATGTGATCCTGCGTATGGAAGGAGTCATACCTTGAAGAACTGTCAAAAAAGGGATCTCTAGATTCAACACTGTATCTTGGAGAATTCCCGGCCCTGGAAAGTGGGGACCCAGGAACAGAGTTCTCAAAAGTAAAAGGGCTATTCTTCTGGGGGGCATCAGTTCTTTCTGGACTTGCACCAAAATCACTCGACCCAAAGAAATACTTCTCTTCGTGCTTCCCATGATCTGAGTCCTGCCAGAGTTTACAATGGTGGGGTAACATCTACTTGAAAGCCAAAAATCAGAGACAGGAATCTATAATGAATGCTTCAATCTTGAAGTGCAGACAACTAAACAGGACTGAACATAGATATAGGGCGTATGCTATAATAGAAATGGTACGGACTCGTCCAGGGATTAAATTGCAACATCATGATAGAAAATAAATACACTAATAATTACTGATAATGAACACGACATCATCAGTAGAACTTAACGAAATTTCATCGAAGTATACTTGAAACATTGAGTACCATGTGTTACCAAACAGTGTAGACAAAATCATAGTTAAAAATAAAAGCATGCACGTGGAATTCATTTTAAAGTTAAAAGCTTTTTCGGGACAAATTTTCAAAATCATTTTCAACCACACATTCTATAGGACCCACAACTTTTACCTACTTTTCAAGCAAACATTCTCCAAAAATTCACTTTTGACTAGAAAAAAATTGGGCCAAAACAAGCTTTAAGTCTCATCCTTTACGTGAGCCCATGTTTCCTCCCCAATTTAAAGTTATACTATATCATTTTTGGCTTCACATGCACGCTTTTTTCCTTTTTTTCTTTTTTTTTTTTTTTTTTTTCAAACTTGAATTTGGCTGACGTGACATACTGATTAATGCCGTTTGTGTTCAAATTGAGAATTTGAGGTTAGCATTTCCAGCCGAGTGACGATTAGTATAATCGTTAGAAACTTGAGTGATCATTACCTAAAGAATATTACTCCAATGACCATTTTGAAATTTTTAACAAATTTCAGTAACCATTGCTGAAATTAACGCCAGTATTATAAGGTGGACAAGGACTTCACAAGTCTACTCACCTTAGCATCGAAGCCCCAAACTGAATCAATGTCATCATTATTGTCAAATGTACCCCATGCAGGTTCATCAAAGCTTCTGCGGCGCCAGGATAATACAAAATGAGGGAAGGAGAGAGAAAAGATCAGAACCCATATTACAATTGGATGATGGAGTACATGCCATTTCAAAAGATTTAGTATGATGTCAGACAAATAAAAAGCAATCCAAACCTATGGGTTTCAGCATCTCCATCAGAGCTCTTCCTGAAATGGTTTTCTGAATATTTGGGAGATGGACTTTCAAATGTTGTTTGTCTTGCTGGACTTCCTTGTGCACTCTTTGATTCATCTTCACTGTATGCATAAGACGATTCTGTCTCGAAAGCACTTACACCTTTACTGAAGGGTTTTTCAGATGTAGAATCAGGCGAAAAGTTATGAGTTGGAGAAGAATTCTCTTCACGAACAGCTGTTGGCTTGGCATTTGCAGGAACAGCAACATCAAATGAAAATCCTGGTAGCAATAATGTATAGGTTAGTGTTTATATGCTAACAATAAGGGTAACAAAGCTGACAGTATTCATCAGTGAATGTTGATTGCAGAAGGGTGAAAAAGCAAGAGATGCCAAACCTTCATCTTCAAACTTGTCCCAGTCTTCATCCCAGATTGACACAAACTCCGGGATCCCAGGTTGCCAACCTTAAAAATGACCATTGTTACACCAAAAAAAGGTTAGTATGAAGGGACACCAACGCACAAAATATTTACAGACAATTATTTCTAGAAAGGAGAAGAATTACTGAAATGCTGAGTTGCTTGCTGGACAAAGAAACCACAGTTTCTCTTCCTAATTTATTAATAAATATAAAATTTAACCTATACCTTCGGAGACATTCTTTTTCTCTAAACGTGCCAGTTAGCATGCTACTAAATTCTTAAGGTAACACCCGAATATTTTCCACAAGAATTCTTTTTAATGTCAGCCTGTGGTCTTTGTAAATGTTTGTAAAGGTAGTTCATGCGGTTTTTTATTCATGAACTAAAAGAACAACCATCTGTCTCAAATGTCCAAAGAGAAGCTGAATGTAGATAAAACAGATACGCTCATGCCAACTTCCAATTTATGTGCTTGTTCGGCAGTGTTTTTAAGTGCTTATAAATAGGGGGCCTACGGAATGTGTGAATAATAAGTAGGTAAAAGCTGTAGATCCTATGAGATGTGGGGATATAAAGAATGTTTGACTAGCTTAATTTTAATTTTGAGCCTTGCCAGATATGCTCTATGTCTTGCATCTTAATCCTTAAACAAAAAGCACACAGTTCACAAATCGTACCGACCTTCCTCGTGTTTCAAGGAGAAAATTTTCTCTGCATGTTTTCTGTTCTATTTTTGCTAAAAGTAATCTCTTATGTTCAAATTTGCAAAAATGATTTCTTTTTGTTTTCCCAAGTGCCCCGTAGTTTGGAGATTTCAGGGTGGGTGGCACAAATAAACCAATTTTTTATTAAAGAAATTTAGTTTGACCATTTATCTCTGTTACAACAAACATTATCATAAAAACTTAAAGCATAATGCTTAGGAAAAACAGTTGAATTACAAAGTAAATTATAAAATTCAAACAAACATAGAGGGAAACTCAAACTGCAGTATAGAAAAGCTCCCAACTATATACATAATCGCAGTAAAATTACATAAAAAGTTACAGAAGATACCTGGGGGAAGCTCAATCAATGCTGTAGATTTTATCCGTAAGTCATGTTTCTTGCAACGCTCAGCCATAGCCTTCAACAGCTCCTCAAGATCCGATTGAATACGATCAGCTCGAACCTAGACATACCAGGAATGCATTTAGTGCTGCATTTCATGTGAAGCCTAAGGTTTTCCATTAACAATGCGAAACATCAGCACTCGTCCCAGAAAAGTTGTAATATTTTTACCTGAAGAATACCGTCTGCACTACCACCTTGTTCCATTTTAATGATTGCTTGCTGCAACTCCATTTTCCTCTCCTAGAAATGCATTACATAGAATTCAGAATCAGTTAATGAAATTTCCAGGACCATCATTCTAGACTCTACTGTCTAGAACAATATGCCAAGTTAAAATTAGCCCCACCAAACATGTAGATAATATAAATATCTAAAGACAGGCCACTGAAGAAACTGGGAAGAACAAAATGCAACTAATCATCACCAAGAAACCATAATAGCATAACAGTCCTGAAACAAGGAGCATTCCAAGCCAAGAAGCAATAAAGATTGTATCATAGATCGAAAACATCGACTAAAATTTGGGATGGCACAAGTTGGCATGAAAGAGAAGTATAACGCAAATGACACTAAATCATCAGTACACCGAAACATAATCTAGGAACCCATTTAAAAATAATTATACAATGGAAGGACGCCATAATAATAGTGATTGGATAAGTTAAATAAATGTGAATGACCTGAATTTCACGAAATGAAGCCTCTTCAATAGTTAGTTTAGAAGCAATTTCCGCAACTTGCTTGTATTTCTCTTCATATTTCTTGGCAAGTAACTCGGCCTGAAATAAGAGAAAAGGAATGGGCGAGGTATATACAGAGGAGGAACTGGAAGGGAACAAATTTTTTTTATCAGAAAACATACCTCACGCTTATCAGCTAAAGCCCTTTCTGTAATTTCATTAAGACGATTATCACATCTACTTTTGTACAAAACCTGAAGGAAATTTTTAATAAACAAGATTATAGTGCAACTAAAGAAATTAACATGCATAGTTATAACAATATCAGAAGATAAGAACGGTTTCATGGTATAATAACTCACAAGGTCTTGCATTTTTGTCCGATAGAATTCAATCTTTTCTCTGGAATCCAGAAGCACTTTCTCCTTATTTTCAACCTTCCACAGATAAAAGAAACAGCTTCAAATAACAAAACACTACAAAGCATGCTTGAAACCACATCTTGTGAAAGAATGCAAGTAGCAAAATTCCCAACAGAAGAGGAAAAAAATCCTCAGAGCTGAGGAGAAAAGGTAACCATCTAATCCTCGCAAAAGTATACCTATGACCAGGTGTGGAACCATAATAACTTCTATGTGGACAAGTGAGCCAGGGGTTTGGAAACCATAAATGGCTGATATTAATTTCCCATGAAAGTAATGACTGTAAAATTATAAAATGGATGCTTCATATTCCAATATACGGCACATAGCAAATATTAACTCGTTCAAAGAACTCAATTTTTTGATGACAGCTAGAAATAGAAAATTGCATAAGATATACAACACAACTGGAAATGAATTTCCAAAGCTAACAAGTAGCAAGACAGCTGGATTCATTAATCTGCAAACATTTCAAAACATAATCTCCCCATACTTGCATTACTCATGAAACTCAACAAGAGCACAAGACTAGATATTTTGAAACCATTCATGTCATAAACATTAAAAAGGAACAAAAGAGGCCATGTCAGATGGAACAAGGGAGAGAGGAGAAACTACCTTTTCTTCTGCCTCTTGAACTTTATCGTCCAAAGAATTCTCCTCGCCATTACTGAGTTCACTCGTATAGGAATTATCCATTATAGGGACTCTAGCATTTTGTTCATCAAACTGCATCGATCCATCAGGCTGAGAATAAACTGTCTGTGTCGGAAGCCTTAAACTAGCAGATGCATGTGGGAGTTGCTGTGGTCTTATGCCTAAATACCAAGAGAAAATACTCATATTAAAAATAAATGTGAATGAGAAATTAAATATATAAAATTCAATCCGTATCAGTACCAGTAGTGGTCCCCCAGCCCGTTCTTCCATAAGAAGCAGTGGGTGGACCTGCCAAAGACAACAGAGTTTCATCGAGCATGACACTACTAGGAAGTGCCGATGGAAGTGGCCGTCCTTCCCTGTAACGCTCCATTAAATATAGTGCAATGCAGAACTCCCTCAAAGAAAGCATGCCATCACTGTCTTGATCTGATAAGTCCCAAACTTGCTTTAAAACCTCTGTAAAAGACATCAAAAAGATTTATATGACATCCCAAACATAAAGGGTCAGCAAACGTTCAATACTTTGCTGAAGCATGAGCATAAGAGAAGGCAGAGATCATCACAAGGTGCACATAAATCTGATTTAAATTTCTGCCTAAGAAAGGTAGAACTAAGAATATTTAAACAAAGGATCAAGGAAGCATCAAAGAGGGCAACTTTGCAGACAGCGTATTGCTCTCTGGCCTTTAAAATATCACTGTATAAATCCAAATAGACAAATACAGATTATCCACCAAGTATATTTACTTACTAAAAAATACGAGGGCAACAGGGATAATTTTCAAGCACTAAATCAACGTGTATAACTAATAAGTCAGCACGCCATTCCTATCTAGAAGAACATTAGAACACTAAGATCAAAACACTGCATTCAAGTCTCTGTTCGGAATGTAGAACAAGGGGTCCATTGACAGGATATAATTAAAAAAAATGCTATCGTATAAGTTAGTCCAATAGCTTCCAAATTACTAAGACAAGAAAGCCGCAATTCTAGAAGTGGCATAAATGAAACATAAACCACACTTCCAAGAGGGTTTCACGTTTGCAAGGCAACATACCAAATTTGTTTCAGTAGTTCAAGAAATCTTGATTTAATAATCCAAATTAAAATGTTGTATCCTTTGGATATTAAGTGTCAGTTCTGATCCAACTCCCAAAATGAGCTTAAGCAGAATAATTTCAATATAAAATTGATCCAAATCTGAGTATTAGAATACATAGTTAATGCAGTATCCCCATCTATGCTGATTCTACAGAAATATATTCCCCAAATAAAATCAATATAAAAAAGTAGAACAAAATGTGTACCAAGCTTGAAATAAAAAAAATTTAATCATCATAGGAAAAAGCATGAAATAAAAAGTAAAAACATTTTTCAGTACCTATTGGTAGTCTCCAACTCAAGAATAGACTGTGTGCCTGCTCACCACTGATCTTCCCATCTCTGTCAGTGTCTACTTCTATAAAAACTTTTGCATATTTTTGAACGCTCGCACGTGTCATTTTAGGCCATGAAATCTGAGACTGCTCTGAAGCAGAATTCCCACCACCAGCTGTCGCTCCAGATGATGAGCCAAAAGAAGTAACTTGAGTGGAAACCTGTTTATTAGATTTTGGCAGAGATGAGGTCTGCTGAGTCTGGACCATAGTAGATGGTTTCACTAGAGTGCTCTGAAAAGCTTCAAATGGATCGGGCTTAGCTGAAGGCTGCGGTCCAGTTGACACTGGAACAATGGCTGAGGAGGTAGGTATGCCACTGGCAGGTCGTGTTGATGCAGATGAAGCCTGAAGAGATGCAGATTGAGTGGTAGAGAACACATCCCCTCCAAACATTGATTCTGAAGCAAACCCATTTCCAGAACTGACCAATGCTTTAGGATCCTTAGCAGCAGTTGAGGACACTGTTGAAAGTGGATCTAGCAATTTTGGGGCAACTAGAGGAATTGATGGACTAGCTCCTCTGTTTGAGACTGGTGTTGGTCCAGTAGGATGAGCAACACTAGTTCTTCCACCAATCCAATCGTTGTTCGAGTTTGGAAGACCAGGCCCGACCATATCACCTCCCCTGGGGAAATTCAGACCACTGGGACCTGGAGATGGTCGTGATGCAGTGGCAGCAGGTATGGGTAGTGGTCTGGTTTGTTGGTTACCTTGAGAAGAGAAATACTGCTGGTTCATACTTGTACTTGAAACTGGCTGTCCCAACTGCTGGTTCATATTTGTACTTGGTGGTACCTGTCTGAATTGCTGGTTCATGCCCGAACTTGAAGGTGCCGGTCCGAATTGCTGGTTCATGCCTGAACTTGAAGGTGCCTGTCCAAACTGCTGGTTTATACTGGAACTTGAAGGAGTCAATCCTCTGAAGCCAAGATTATTAGAAGATGCTGGTGCAGCAGCACCTATCTGTAGTGGTGGTGCAGCACCGACTGAATTCGACTGTGGTGTAGGTATGGGTGCTAGATTTATCTTTGGGGCAGGGATTTTGCCTGAAGCAGGACTGTATAATGCTGCCTTCACAATATCTGGGGTTAATTCTCGCTTACTCTGAGCCACTGTTACAAGTTTAAGGAAATTATAAAACTCAGGACGGCTGAGATAGCCAGTGTGGCTCTGGTCAGTATGCACCCATATCTGCAACCGAATAGCAGAACTTGATAATCATCCGCATGATAATCTAGATATGCAGATCAAAAAGGCTATTCTTTGTAGAAACTTAAGAAGGAAGAGTAAAGTAAAAAAGATGAGGAGTATTAATATATTCTCAATCATTATCGGGAAAAGAATTACCGCTTTCGTGAAGTAAAGGAGATTGCATTACATAAATCTTCTATTAGGCTGCTTATTTTAACCAAAAGAGATTTTAATACAACTGATGGAGAACTGCAAAGAACGGCTTATCGGTACAATCTAAGAGAACCAAATACCACTGTAAAAGTTGAAATACAGAAGCAAATGTAAGGATGACATTTCAGTACCTCCATTTCTTAGGAAAATATATCCGTAATAAAACCATAGCTATGTCATCTTGTCCAGTATTATCAAGGCTTAATAGAGAAGTTTTCTCATCCTTCTTTTGACGACAACTGATGGAGAACTGCAAAGAACGGCTTATCGGTACAATCTAAGAGAACCAAATACCACTGTAAAAGTTGAAATACAGAAGAAAATGTAAGGATGACATTTCAGTACCTCCATTTCTTAGGAAAATATATCCGTAATAAAACCATAGCTATGTCATCTTGTCCAGTATTATCAAGGCTTAATAGAGAAGTTTTCTCATCCTTCTTTTGACATGAAGATTTTTAAAGGAATAGGAGGCATAGATTATCCCAGTGCCACATCATTTCACCAACTTCCTTAATACCAAGTTTTAACACTAAATGTGTACAACATCGCTGAAGACCAGATGTCCACTTTATACAACTCTAACGAATCATATATTTGCTAAAATGTCAACCAAGTTGTCCGAGTGCTAAGAATCTAAGTAAAAATAACCCAATACTCCTACATGCGGTACTTGCTTGATCATAAATAAGCCACCTCAAGATGGAATTCAGTATACTACCCACATTTCGCTGAAGGCAATTCGAAATAGCACGCTATGCGTTGAAGCCGATCATTATCATACGGAAAATTCACTAAAAATTACAGATTTATGAAAAAAGAAAAACAGAAAAGAAAAGAGTGGAACCTGAGCGAGGACTTGTTTGGGCAGATTGGATCCCTGTAAGAAAGCAACAGCTTCTGCACCACTGATCTTGCCATCCTGATTCATATCCGCCCTCCGAAAATACGCCTCAAACTGTTCCATATTTACCCCACCTGCTGCCCCCGCCATTTTTCCTTCCAAATCCTCAGATCATCATCAAATAAAATAGCAATTTAATCCCTCCGAAAATAAACAAATCTACTGCCAACAACTAAAAACTAAAGGGTCTACCCAAAAAGCAGAATTTGTTTGAAGGAAGAAATGAATGTTTAATTACAGATCGAGAACAAATGATAGAGTAACAACGGCTTCGAAAATTGTGAAATAATCATGCAACCACAGAATTGGAGAATGGGGCAAACAAAACAGCAGATTTGACGGACTTTTTTTTCTTTTATTCACGCTTTTAATTTCTGAAGGAAATGAATCAGGTTCGGTTTTAGGTTGGCTTCTCCTCCCCAATCGACAGAGGATTTGGACTGAGATCGGGGGAATGAAATTTATGTTTTACAGTTTTGGCCCCCATATTTGACAAATTATGAAGTTGCCCCCAATACTTTTCTTCGTTGTCCAAAATGTTGACTTGGTAATTTTTTTAATTTTTTTTATTTTTACTTCCAAAATCAATTTCTCGTGGGAGTTAAAAAACCCAAAAAAAATAAAAAATGAAAAAAATGAAAAAAGAAGACTAAAATTGAAATCAAAACCCTAACCATATTTCACTTCCATTTGTCCCATTCTCATTCTCTCGACCCAAACGACTCAATCCAGAGAGAAACGCATGTAATGGATGGTTTATCAGAGCATTTTTTTCCATCTCCAATGTGATAGCCACTGGATTTGAAGGCAGCGCTGGTGGATCAAACGTACCGTCGACTCAAATGGTAAATTTTTATTTTCCTTTATATTCAAAATGTAATGGTTGACGAATCAGATACCATATTAGAGATTAACATATGATTTTCCTTCTTCTTTCTCCACCTCTAGAGAGAAGGATACCCATCTTGAAGGAGAATTGCATAAATTTTCCGACAACATGGTTGATGAGAATGCTGACCATGGTATAATTTTGAGTACATTTTCTAGAACAAAAAGCTTGGTACTATAGTTTTGCTTGTGACACTTTAATATGATGTAAGTTTGACTGTTATTCTGAAGTGTGCTATACATGTCTTCATGTTAGTCAATTTCTAAACATACATGGTGCTTGTGGCATTTACTAGAGAAGTCACTCGAGAAGTTAGGCTATCACATTGCCAAAGGTTCCATAATGCATGTTGTACATGTGTTAGTCTATGACACGCTAAGTGGTGAGGAATTTGAGGAAGGCTAGTTGAAAGAACTCTCTAATCGTTGGGTAGCATGTTATTTGAAAACTACATTTTGGGCTGGTATGTCAATCACCAAATGGAGTGAAAGCATGAATGCATTTTTTGACTGTCGTGTGCATTCGAAAATATCTTTAAAGCTTTTTGTATAGCAATATGAGTGGACATTGAGAAGTAATGTTGAGAAAAAATTTCAAACTGATTTTAAATCATTCTTGCAAATGGTTCCATGTGCCACTAAGTATGATATGGAGAAACAATTTCGAGATGTGTACTATCTCAAATTTTAGGGAGTTCCAACATGAATTCCCAGAAAAAAGTTCACTATGAAGTATTATCTGCGGAAAACTTCTCTAGGCAAACGAAGTACGAGATCCGTGAGGATATTATTCACAATGAGGGAATGAAGTAAAAAATATTTACAATTCATCTTCGTAGCGACAGCTGCGAGGCTGAGTGCAATTGTAATTTGTTTAGGTTTCGAGTTATCATTTGCAAACACTCAATATCAATTATAATTCAGAATGATGTGCAATTGCTTCCCGATGAGTATGTCTTGTGGAAATGGAGGAGAGATGTCACTAGATAGTACATGTAGGTTCCAACACAACTGAACAATTAAGATATGAGAAGTTGCATCTCGCTTTTACGAAGATGGTGGACTTGGTAGTGGCAAATGAAGAACTGTCCAATCATCTATTTGGGGTGGATTGAATTCCAAACAAACGAATTGTCTAAATCAAACTGTAGTAACTTGGATGCGGATGAATTTGAAGCTCAAAATGATGAAGGCCTAAACATTCTGGATCCAAAACTTACAAAAGCAAAGGTCCATAGAAAAAAATGTGCAAAAAAGTCCAATGGAGATGAATTCTAAGAAATCAAAGGTTCGAAAAAGTTGTAAACATATCTGCATAAGACTTATCCACCTTCTCATTGTATAATTATTTCATTTTATTTCTAATTGAGCTTTTGGTTGCATCATGTATAGGTATCCGCAAATTCTACGGTTTCAATTGGTGTAGTAGGTCAAAGGGCAATGTCACAAACACTAAAAATGCTCAGGATGCCCAATTTTAGAACGTATCATCTTTCAAACACACATATTTTCGGACGTAGGAGAGTGTGGAGGATATATTATGTTTGTAAGCAGTGTATGAATCTGAGGATGAGGAACATGTATTTGTATTTGTAGTTGAGGCAAAATCAATTATTCTCAATGTGTTCTTCATTTGCTATACGTGGAACCTTTTGTTTTTTGATTATGACTATTTTGAAACGATATGTAACGTGATGTTCAAATTGGTTCCCGTCTCACTTGCTCTAGAAATGTTGTACTTTTTCAAATGTATGAAAATCACTATTTATTGAGTCATTTGGGTCTAGAGAATGAGAATGGGAAAAGTGAGAAATACGGTTAGAGTTTTGATTTCTCCAGAAAAAGTTAAAAATATGAACAAAACAAACCCCCCCCCCCCCCAAAAAAAAAAAAAGGTATTGGCAATTACTTGCAATTGTCAAGTTAGGAAAACATGAAATTGGTGAAGAATATCGCCAAAATCTAAATAAAAATAAAATTTTAAGAAAATTGTATCGGATTGTTAGTCAAAAAAAGCAAGTGATTAAGTGGCTTCAATCACTTCGAGATGATATAGGCCAAGAGCTTACTCAGTTGCGTGGTGAAGTGTAACGAGACACAATTTATATTTGGATTGACAACTAGTTAATTTCATGATTAGTGAACAAGAATTAGTACCTTTTTCTGCCAAGGTCGTAGTATCGGCTATTTCACCAATTACTGTCAAGTGTCTTGATTGCTTAGTATTATTTCTTAAGTAGCAACACTGGAGCGTGAATTAGACCCAACCATGAGTTGGAGTTTAATACTATTAGCATTATCGAGTAAAGAATTAGACCCCATTTATTTGGATAAAAGTTAGATTTTAGTAGATTTCAATAAAAAATTTGATGAAATGTATGTTACAAAGTCATTAAAATCTGTGTATATTATAAAACGTGTGACTGAAAACGAGTTTAAAAAAATGTGTTTCAAGAAATTAAGCACAAACAGGAAATAAATTCCATGTTTGCCGTGTGGAATTTGATAAATCCTCAACTCAAATGAACATTATTATTAAGCTCGCAAGTCCTTTGATACACAAATGAGTGGGATCAATACATATTGTCGTATACCTCGACATTTAGCGTTGAATAACTATCTCATGCAATCCACATGAACCGATGAAGAAAATATAAGAATAAAGTATTAATATAACTAAAATGATAAAACAATCATTTTTTAGCAGTTAAAACATAAGAGCATTAAATTGCATGATGTAATTTCACAAAAACACATTTATGTGACTTTAGAACCCGTTTGACAGGCTCCATTTTCCACTCAAATGATATGTTTAATGGACAAATTTTCTTTGGAATTCATTTTCCACCCAACCCCCACGTGACCACATTTTCCAGGACTTTAAGAAATTGATTTTCCTTTGGTTTTGGTGGGAATTGGGTTATTCAACTCTTTTTTTTTCCCCGATAACGGAAATAAATTCTATTCACAATTGTAACAAATTCTATCATTCTAATTGACAATTTTCATATAAAACAAAGCCAAATGAGCACCAAAAGATCCAAAATTTCAACTTTTCCAGGTAAAAAATTATATAAATCAACACATTTAATTAACAATTTCCAATAAAACAAATTCTAAACAATTCAATTCACTGAAATTTGTTTTCTTCTCACCCAAATTTCATTTTTGCAATCAAACAGACTCTTGTATAATTCAAGAGTAGATTCATGTCTTTAGTGGAACAAGCGGGCAGTCTACTAGGCAATACATGTTCAATAATACATAGTTGTTGGCAACTTTTTCAAGTTTCTCCATCACTCGTTTATTAAAGGAATCATGACTTGAACCAAATTATCTCATCTCTAAAGTCGAAGAAAAGAATATTTCAGCAAACTATAAACTACGCCATGGTACCCATAGACAAGAAAGAATAGAATCAAGAGATTGCCTAACCAGAGCAAGGGCGATATGAACTATTTCAAGCAAGAATGCCATGACCTCGGACTCGAGAGGAATTGACAGATGTAAGAATGAATTGAATTCTACTAATTACAAAGGGAGACAAAACATATCCTGTTGATGGCATGTTTGGCAAGGGCACTAGACATTATTTTGTTCATGATCATGTACATGTCCCCAGCAGTTTTTATTCTGCAAACTGAAGACAGGTAAAGCCTACTGAGAGTCTGATTTGTCTTCTGATCTCTTGTATTCAGGCTTGAGCTCATAGGTTCCTTGATTGGCTCCCTTGTTATTGTAGATACAGAGAAGTTTAAGCATGTTCTTCAGAAATTGCTGCAACAAAAATAAACGTCGGACAATTGCAGGTATGAAAAGAGGTAGTGGTTGATGTTACAACAAAGTAAAAACAAAAAATATATCTGAAATACAAGGCAAGACACCTAGGCCAATGTCCACAATTTTTTCTACCCACAAGAAGCTAAATGGAACGAGCAATAGTTAGATCACACAATCAATTCCTAGGACAGAAATAATTCGCTAACTATTTTATATAGCATCCCCGAGTATCATGATTCTCAGCATAGGCACTGTACAACGTCTAAGAAATTTGATGGCTCTCCAACTCTTGCAAAAAGAGAAAATCAGATCTATGGTCTTGTAGAAATTAAGCAACGCGAAATGTAACCAGGGCAGCATAGAGTAGGTTCAGCAAATCAAGTTACATACCTCAGGCTGATCCGTCTCAAGAATAAGCTGTTTTAGCGTCCAATTTGGTTGTCTTTCAAAAAGCTTAAACAAGATCTTTTCCATTTCTTCAGGGTCCCTTCTCGTTCTTTTCATTTCTGACCCCTTCATGGGCATTTTCCTTTTATCCTATTTAAAAGCAGAGCTAAATGTATGAGATGGCATTTTATCCGCACACATTCTGTTACAAGCATAAACAATGGAAAAGTACTGAGGATCCAGAAGGCTTTGAATCAACTGTCCCGAGCATAGGCCTCATCCTCATGTGCATTTCGCTATCGTCATCAATAAACTGCAGAGCAAATGTTAAAGTTGCAGAAAAGAGATTCTACACATCAAAGTAGAAATTAATGAATAGGAGACTTCTCCAAAGATAAGAGAAGTGAATGATATTACCTGTGTCTGTCTAGTTCTAGTCATATATTTGTTTGTCCTTTCCCGACATAGTTTTGCATAGTCCTCCATATTTTCATTATGAGGCTTCATGTCGAATTTGTGATAGATTTTCCCTTCCACAGAAAGCTTTTTTCCTAGATGTAGCGATTTCACGTTTGTTAAAAACACACACATACGATAGAATAAATGAATAGATGAACACAAATAAAAACAGAATGATTCAGAACATAAGTCATCATACTGCACTGATTTATAAATTTCAGAGAGTATCTTAGCCTCCATTTGTCAAACAAAATAAATCAATTTATAAATGATCAAACTTCAATTTCAACAACACATTCCAATGGACCAATGAGTACTATCTACCTATCCATCACTCATTTCTATTTATTTATAAATTCTTTCCAAACGGAGGCTTAGATTTCTACCTTTTTCATAGGAATCAATAATGTTTAATCAAAGAAACGAAGTTACAATCAATTTATAAATGATCAAACTTCAATTTCAACAACACATTCCAATGGACCAATGAGTACTATCTACCTATCCATCACTCATTTCTATTTATTTATAAATTCTTTCCAAACGGAGGCTTAGATTTCTACCTTTTTCATAGGAATCAATAATGTTTAATCAAAGAAACGAAGTTACAATCAATTTATAAATGATCAAACTTCAATTTCAACAACACATTCCAATGGACCAATGAGTATTATCCACCTATCCATCACTCATTTCTATCTATTTATAAATTCTTTCCAAACGGAGGCTTAGATTTCTACCTTTTTCATAGGAATCAATAATGTTTAATCAAAGAAATGAAGTTACAATCAAGATATCCTCTTATCCATAAAACTAAAAAGATCATGAAAAATGTTAACTCCTCAAACATAGCCCATAAAAAGGCTAAATACTTGGGGACAATTCCCATAACTCGTAAGCATTCTCTTTTTATTCAAAATTCCTTCAATTTCCTTTTCGTCCATATCACCTTGAAAATGGTTGGTGCTACTGATTTCCACAACACCCAGCTTACACAAACCAAAAGTGATTGGATTTCCAAGAAATAAACCAGTGCACGTTTTGCAAAGCACCCGAGGACAATCTGCTTCTTGAGAGATAGCCTCCTCCCTCAAACCTTGCAACATTGAAATGTAAAATTACTATAATATATGACCAATACCTTCCAAACCCTTTCTACATATTACCTTCCATAAGATACATCCTCTTCCGGTTGGACATAATAAGGCAGACTGTGCAGTTAGAATAGAAGAATATAGAAATATTTCAATCTAGCTTATATCCTAGTCTAGCTAGGAGTTAATAATTTTCCTTTTAAGATTTCTTTCCTTTCTTTTCTAAAGGTAGGTTATTCTTGTATAAATAACCCTTGAATTTGATGAATAATACAAGAGATTCAGCCTATGTTTTTACTTGCACAAACAGCTAGTCATGTTGACATTATAAAGTAGACCTCTATAGATGATAAATGCAGGAAAAAAAAAAAAAAAATCCTCCAGGCTACTGAAATGTCTCATAACTGAAGAAGGCAAAGAAGAGGCCATATTTCCACTGTGCTCTGCAGCTCTTGCCCCTTGGCAGTAGAAGGGTTAAATCTGTCTTCGTGGTTTGTGGTTTAAGCACAAGTTATTGGATGGTATGCATACCTTACCCACCCAAAAAGAAAATTCGATTATTTACCAATTTTTTTTTTTCTTCCAGTATCAAACAAGTTTTGTAACATCCACAGAGATATAAACCCAACCAGTAAGTGCTGACAAGTTCGCAAGCCATCATCCCAATCCTTAAAATGTCTAGCCCACATCCAACAAAAGCATTATAGCATAACTCCAAGCGAAATATGCTGGTTTCCAGCTCCCGTCAAGGATGTTTCCACAGGAAAATGAAAGAATGACCACCTTATCTAAAAGCTCAAGTTGTTAAAGTGAATGAGCTTATTTATATTATTATCTTCAGCACTCCTCTCATGTGCAAGCAGAATTTATTTATTTTTCCTTTCCAAATCTGGAAGAAATCAAATATTTGATCGAGTCAAAAAAAAAAGAAGAAAAAGTGGTGAGATATGAAATTAGGACAGTTGTTTGTGCAGAGAACATATTGAAAGAGTGATCACCTCATCCAAGTTGAAGATGTGATCATAAAACAAGTCAACCTATTTTCTAACAACTTAAGAGCTTTCAGATGAGGTGATTTCAACGTAATGTCAAAGCTCCTTTAGGCATGGCCAACATAAATCTCTGAGGTTTTCTCATCAATTAAGCAACCTCATTGTTGGTTAAAGTGAGAGGATCCGATAACTATTCAAAACTACAGTAATCCAAGGGGTCCAACATGAATATCTCCATTATGAGTTGGCATCATTCCCAAATTTATTTTTCTACCAGTACTGCCAATGTAGCAGTTGGGCGTGCATTGAGATAGAAGAGTGCTCACCTTGGGATGATTCAGAAAATATGGACATAGGAACGAAATCAGTGGACATGTCCATGGAGTAGCACTTGGGTATGTTTCCATATGCGTTACCAGCCAACTCCATGGTAAACTGATCATCATGTGAACATTTGTGGAAAATAGAGAGGAAAAAATTAGAAGGATTGTAATTATGTTTCAATTTATGTTATTACAATAAAAATATATATTACACTTCTTCTCCTCAACCTAAAATAAATAAAAGATTAAAAAAAATAAGAGAAGCATCAAGAAAATACAAAACTCTGCCAAAAAAAAAAAAAAAAAAAAAAAAAAACGATGCCTATTGTGAAAATAAGGTTAGAATTATGTAGAGAATGGCATAAGCTGCATGTCAATACCTAGTGTATCCAACTCATTTTCGTATCGTATAAGCTTCACTTTGTTATGTAGTAAAACAAAGATAAAACATTAAAACTTAAAAGTCTCTCCAGTGAATAATCTGAGGGGTCCAAATCACAGCCGTAATGTTTTTCCCCAGATCTACGGTGGCTTAATTAACATGTATTCATCAGATGTAAAGAAAGCTCAGGTCACCCTGACCTCATAAATAGTAAGACTTGACAAAAGAGCAAGAGTAAGGAGATTCCAAGTTTAACAAAATGCTTAAGATAAGAAGGCACAATCAATATTTTCAACTACTATTGAAAAATTAATATTACGCACTCCACTGGAAGAATGGGGACCGTTATCTGGAATTGGTAATCGTGTCTGTAAAAGTAAAATACAAGAATTCAAGAATGCAAATGACCAGTAAATAGAATTGATTTATTTCAATAATGATCTTGTTCGATTCTTCTCCGGTTCTTTGCTTAGCCATCTAACTCTATCATTCACACAAAGAAGAGACACCTTGTTCGGGGAGAATTATGAAAGTTTCAAAAACATAACAGGGCCCAATGATTCACAAACCAGCAAAGATGAGTCCCACATCCCCACCCACCCACAACCCCAAGCTATAAATTATATATTAAGATGAAAATTGGAGGAATCTCTGTAAGATAGACATGTATTGCAATTACCAAATCAAGGCAATACACCAACATTCAGAATCCCATTGCTCCCAGGTCACACGCAATGAATAAAAACAAGTTTCACTAGCACACTGTAATTTCAAAGAAAAATATAATTTGCACCCTTCGAGATTTTTCAATTTTTAAATATTGATTCTTCCGTCCAGGCCCACGAAGTTTCCATTCCATTTTCCATTAATGCACAAAATATTAGTATGAATTTTGCAAATATATGCTACAGTACGTACAAATCTCAAATGAAGGGAGCTTTATGAGATTCTTGTTAAAATAAATACATGCAAGATAGAATACACACAAAATCTAGTCCATGCGACTAGAAGAAATAACAAAGAACCCAATAATTATTGTAATCTGAAATACTAAGAAACAATCGACGGAAATAATTGATTCAGTGCAAGAATTTTTTTTGGCACCCTTCGAGTGTATAGGGGAATGTGCATAGATACCTGGGTGGAAGAGAAATCGTTATTGGGGAGGAGAGGGTCGACGGAGACGATGACTTTGGCGACGATGGGACCTGAGTTACTGAAAGGGTCTTTGGCACCATCGGCGGAGAAAGGAAGAGGCGGAGGCGGAGGCTGGGGGAGGTGGTTGTTTTGCATGGCGCGTGAGACAACGGGAGGGCACTTCATGAGCCACACGTGTCTCTCCGCCTTAGTCGTATCCAGCTGACTGCCGTCCGTATTCTTTGCCGACGCAACCACATTCTCCGTTGCATTATCGTTGTTTGGTTTCTCCGCCATGGAATGTGGTGGTGCTGGTTGTGGTTTTGGATGATCTGCAAATAACGAACCGGTGACTGCTAAATTGGAGGAATTAGTGGCTGTTGGCCGGTTGACCCGGCCAACACTGGGTACCAATTACACACGGCGTGGCCTTAATCAACTATTCCATGGGTGAAGGCAGAACAAGAAGAGTTCAAAGAAAGGAAAAAAAAGGAAAAAAAGGGAAAAAAAAAAAAAAAAAAAAGAGATTCCCAATTTTACCCTCACTTGAAAACGAAGCAAAGTCGAAGGAGACGGGAAAATACTGTAGCACAGTCGACCCAGACACCGACAAATAAGGAAAAATAGGGTACCCACTTGGCCAAAATCCCTCTGAAGAAGGTAAGAAATTTATACAAAAAAAAACCATGTTTATATTTTTATTTTTGAAAAAAAGTATGATTTTCTACATATTTCTTGAGAAATTCATGTGTAAATGTGGAATTTTGGCAACATATTACTTGGGAAGGAGTGGAGATCGCCGGAAATGGAGTTTTCCGGCGATCTCCTCAACACAAATGCCGGAAACGACGACTGGGCGTCGTCTGGGCGCGCCCAGCCGCCCCCGACGCCCAGACGGCCCAGTTATCTGGGCCGTCTGGGCTCCCCCCCAGTCAACTGGGCAACCCAGTTGACTGGGCCACCTGGGTCAACTGGGCCAGACCCAGTTGACTGGGCCGTTTTATTTTATTTTTTTTTCGGTTATTATTGAAGTTAATTAAATAATTATTAATGGCTTATTGTGTTATCTAATATGTAATTATTTATTTGAA